ATTATATCCAACAAGGTGACAAGCTTGTTAAGGACATGGATCGGTTAACGGCGTTTAGTGAGGGGTTAAAGACATGGTCCAAATGGGTGGATTCCAATGTTAATCCCTCACAAACTAAGGTTTTCTTTCAAGGCATTTCTCCTACTCATTACAAGTAAGGTTCTTGTTTGTTTGTTTGTGTGTGTGTGTTGGTGTCAATATGCCTATTCTGAGACCGTTGTATAGTTAATTACTCGAACGATTAACACTGTACATGGTCACATCGACCTAGTAATATAATTGATTCTCAATCTCAATCGATGATTGTTGGTAACTAGTGTTGTAAAATTAAACGAGCCTGACTCAACTCGGCTCGTTAAGGCTCGAGTTTGACTCGTCTTGTTTGATAAACAAGCCGAGCTCGAGCTCATCTCAAACTTGTTTGGTTAGCGAGTCTACCTCAACTCGGCTCAGTAAGTCTTGTTAAGGCTCAAAATGAGAATTTTTATATAATTTTTATAAATCAGCTCGTTAAAGCTTGAGATCGACTCGTTATTAATGATAAACAAGCTGAGCTCGAGCTCAATTTCAAGCTCGTTTATTTAACGAGTCGAGCTCGACTCGGCTAGTTTACAGGTCTACTGGTAACTCATTCTCACTTTTCGCTTTGAACACTCATTCTCATATGATCCAGCTGACATTATACACGAACAAACACACAACATTATACATAATATCGTATTCTAACAATAGCACGCGTTTATATAGTGGTGCGGAGTGGAATGCATCAAAGGGGACTAATTGTAGAGGCGAAACCCAACCGATCAACGGGTCGGTTTATCCTGGCGGAACCCTGCCAGCGGTGGCGGTGGTGAAGGTTGTGCTTAGCGGCATGAAAACTCCGGTTGGGTTGTTGGACGTGACGACTCTCTCGGCGCTGAGGAAAGACGGGCATCCATCGATTTACGGGCTCGATGGGCAAAAGGGAAATGATTGTAGCCATTGGTGCCTAGCTGGAGTTCCTGATACTTGGAATCAATTGCTATATGGGATGTTGATCACTAATGGGAAATCTAAGATGTAAAAATTGCGTCTTGTTTAAGTTGTGATTGATCACTAATGAGACATCACCATTAGTCTCTTGTAATGTTGTGTATTATCTTTTTTTTTCTTCGTTCATGATTTTGATTTTTCATGCAGTATTTTTTTTTTCATCCATTAGTATAAGAAGATTGTGCGAAATTAAAATTTCAAAAAATGTTAATTGGTGGCTACAAGGCACTTTATTATTTAATAATAATATTGAGAAAAGAAATTAATTATAGTTGTTTTTAAATATTTTTGTATCGAATCATAATTCTGTAAAAATAAAAATAAAAATAAAAATATTAAGCTTGTCACTTGTTCCACGCAGCCACACCAGATTCCTTCTCTTGTGCTTTTTCTTTCTTCCCCAACAATAACTACACAAAAGAAGAAAAAATGGCATTTTTCCTCCCAGCTCCCATTACTCTCTCCTCAAAGCCCTCGTCCCATTTGCTCCCCAATTTCCCCAAACCCACATCTAGAACCCTCGTTCTCCCAACAAATCCAAACCCTAATAAAGCACCAATATTCAGGAGAAAAATGGCGACCCAAATTCAAGTATCATCAGCCGCTGGTGATCTTGATCCGGGCCTGCTGCAGCAAGCCGTTCAGCTTGTCCAATCGTCTCCCGCAACGTGGCAATCCGCCCTCCTCAGCAACGCCCTGATCTTCGTACTGGGCTCTCCGATTCTGGTCACGGGCTTGTCTCTGTCCGGCATAGCTGCGGCTTTTTTGCTCGGGACTCTTACATGGCGAGCTTTTGGGTCTTCTGGGTTTCTTCTTGTGGCAGCGTATTTTGTCATTGTGAGTTGACTTAAAAAATAAATAAATGAACTTTTTTTAAACTTATGCATGTGCGGCATGAGGTTGAGATTTAGATTTGGGGTCTTAAATTGAGATTAATGGACTTGCAGTGTGTTTGAGATTGTTTGAAATTGAAAGTGGCACAAATTGTTGAAGTTTTAAGTTGGATGCTAAAGTGAGAAAGATTGCATTTTTGCTGTTTTGAATTTCTTATTACAGAAGAAAGTCATTTCCCCTTGTCATTTGCTATAGTATAGGTTTAGTGATATCTTTGCACTTGAAGTAAATATCTTTATTTTCAAATACATCGACACTCGGTTAAAATTGGTTGAATATGTGGATGTCAGAATTTTTCCTGTCTTCTTAATTAACATGTAACACGATAAAGCGATAACTTTGCAGGGAACAGCGGCTACTAAGGTGAAAATGGCTCAAAAGGAGGCTCAAGGAGTTGCCGAAAAAAGAAAAGGAAGGCGGGGCCCGGGTAGCGTGATTGGGTCGAGTGCTGCAGGCTGTGTTTGTGCCTTTCTCTCTATATACGGTGTTGGTGATGTGGCATTTGCTCGCCTGTGGGAACTAGGTTTCGTAGCTAGTTTCTGTACTAAGCTGAGTGACACTGTCTCAAGTGAGATAGGAAAAGCATATGGAAAAACAACGTTAGTACTTCTCTCCTCTCGTGCTCTAGTTTTCGTTTAGTACGTCTTGATTTTTTTTCCTAGTAATTTTATTCGTAAAAAGAATTGTTTAGTAGCAAGTGAAAAGAAGTATGAGCAGAAATAGCAAATAATGATTTCTCTTTTGAGGAAATGGGCTGATGGGTGCGTTGCTAATGCTTAATTACGATTAGAAAGATCATCCCTGAGTTTTGTATCCAATCTCAAGGGTTTTTTTGGGAATTCTGAAAGTTCTCTTTTCTATAATTTTGCTCCAAACCTCAAAAGAATTTCTTATCATCCCTAATGCATGTATATTCGTTCACCTAAGCAAACCTGATTCTTGAGTGTATTAAAAAAATAAACTGTCTTTCTTATTCTAGGTATCTCGTCACGTCATTTAAGATTGTGCCAAGGGGGACTGAAGGGGCCGTTAGCTTCGAGGGAACTTTTGCAGGACTTTTAGCTTCAATTCTGCTTGCTTTCATTGGTTGCTTTATGGGCCAGGTAAAAATATTCGTTGCCCATTGACCTTGATCTTTTCACAACTACCACCTGTGAAAAATAATTTACCAGTTTCTACGTGTTAGTCCTATGAATTTAGAAATTCAAAAAATCGATGTCCTTATTGCAAATAAGGATAACTGCCGATCATGTTATGTAAAGAGCTGTAAGAAAGTTAAACTACCGGTTCTTACTCAACAAGCCATTTCCACGTGATTGTGTTACTTGAGCACAGCTTGTCAATGTTAATTTTCCACCAAACCCGACTTTTGTAACTGATGAAGGATTTGTGTCAAAGCAGATAAATGTACCTGAAGCTGTCATATGTGTGATTGCTTCCCAGATTGCAAATCTTGGAGAAAGTATCATAGGAGCTGAGCTTCAGGAGAAAGATGGATTTAGATGGGTCAGTCGATGCATTCTTGAAAAATAAACCAAACTAACTTTTCCTTCTTTTTAACTTCTCCCCATTTTTCTCTTTGTTTCTTTATTTATTTATTTTTTATTTTTTTCAGCTTAACAACGATGCAGTCAATGTAATCAACATATCCATGGGTAGCATTCTAGCTATTTTGATGCAGCAATTAATACTGCAAAGCTGGCTTAGATAGCAAAAACTACTATTACATGGTTTAGCTTTCACAACTCGTTGCGAATTAATCATTGACCGTGATCTCCCAGCAACTTGCCCTAGAGTTGATGCTCGATGGTGAAGCTATATATACATATTTTTTTCCGTGCACAAAAAATAGAGAGCAAAGAATTTGGCGAAGGTTTTTACAGGTTCTCCCGTTTTCTTTCCGACTTGGTTCCATGAGAAGGAATGTGGATTGTGTGTAGCTATTGTGTTCTTAACTTGTTTGTTGGCTCAAGTCCAAATATTTCTTTTATCAGCGTTTACATATACAGTGTCCTCCCTTGTAAATCCCATTATCAAAAAGGTGGAAAAGGGTAAAGAAGAAAAATGTTAGTGAGCCCATTCATTTAATCTTGAAGTTTATTATTATTTATTTCTGATCAAATGAAATTTATCCAGTAACAAAGTGAGAAAATCTTCATTACTGCTGTTGTTAAACTGAATTTGACTAATAAAAAAATTACTTTGATAACTGGTTCTTCAGATCAAACCAGGCAGGCTCACTTTGACTAGTAGCAGCATCAGTTAAATGTACATTGTATGGAATACTAATTGTTGATCATATAACTAAGATTTATCAGCCAAAATCTAAGATGTATATAAAAGTATTAAATCTACATTGTATGCTCTATTATTGTTCATCATAAAACTAAGATTTGTCAGCCCAAAATCAAAGAAAATTGAAAAGGAGAGGAAAATGACCGTCTCAGAGTATCTTGCAAGTTTGTTTCTTCTTCCATCGTTATGGGTTGATTCGACCCTACCCGGTTAAGCACTACTTACACGAGGTTTTAATTGTACGTTCACACACACACACTCTTGTGGGTGTGTGTTCATCAGACGGTCAAAATCCTTGTGGGAAAGGGTGAAGTGAAATACACCTATCTTTCAGTGTTTTTCCCAGCTTCTCTTTTGGTTTCCACAGATTTTTCACATGCATAGGCAAACAATAATTTTTGCTTTGATTTATGAATAGATTTTGGTAAACCACCCATAATTACAATCTCAAAATTCAATAGAAAAACACAAATGTCCCTCACGAAAGGGGATCCATTCATGCAATTTTCTCAAAGAAAATTGCAGCACAGCACATTATTCATACACATGGAGAACTTTAGAGGATACAAAAGCATACAGGCATTCAGTAATTAAAAGGAAAGGCGAACAAAACAACAGAACCGACATAGAACACATTCATACTCGACAAAATGGAAGGTTCTCGTACGACCAATTTTTTTATGCATTTTTAAGACTTCCAGCAATGTCGATCACGAATCGGTACTTAACATCTGCTTTCTCCAAACGTTCCATAGCTTCGTTTATGTAATCCATTGGGATAACCTCAATATCTGCTGTTATGTTGTGTTTTGCTGCAAAATCCATCATCTCTTGAGTTTCCTTCATGCCTCCAATGCCACTCCCNGTAAAAGTTATATTTTACTTATCTGGTCACAGTTTGATGCTCTCTTATGTGAATTTATGAAACAACTTATTGTTGAAAAGAACCAAAAAATTATTTTCGGATGACAAAAAATAAAACACACACACACACACATATATATATATATATATATATATATTAAAAAAAATAAAGCCCAATTACTACATTCTCAAGCGAGTAAAAAATAGTAAAATACCATCATTTGATCTTGATCGTGGCTGACCAAAAACGAGTCGGCCCCAAGACTCTTGATGGCCTCCTCCTTCTTATCAGGGTTCGTGCTAATCACAGTCACCTTAGCCCCAAACGCCTTGGCAAACTTGACGGCCACATGGCCCAGCCCGCCAAGGCCCACTACGCCAAGGCTAATCCCAGGCTTGTCCAGCCCGAAAAACTTCATCGGGCTGTACGTAGTGATTCCAGCACAGAGAAGCGGACAGCCTGCATCGAGCGGCATGCCGGTGGGCCAACGGACCACAAAATGCTCGTCACATACCATGATGTCCGAGTAGCCTCCGTAAGTCGGAGTCCCGTCGAAATATTTGCTCCGGTACGTGAGGACCATATTTGGGCACTGGTTTTCGAGGTCGTCCTTACAGCTGGCGCACGTACGACACGAGCCTGCCATGCAACCGACCCCAACTTGGTCCCCGACTTTGACCTTGGTCACGCCGGAGCCCACCTCGGTCACGATCCCCGCAATCTCGTGGCTAAGGCATGGGAAAGAATAATAGGTAATTGTGGATTTTGTAAAATGAGAGTGAAATTTTGAAATGAACATAACGATAAAGGAACACTAAGGTTAAAGCTACGTTTGGTACCTAAATAAGCTAGTTTATAGCTTATTTGATTAACTTATAAGCTTCTTGTAGTAAAGTAAGCTCCGTTTGGTTGAACGTATTTTTTTAAAAAGCTCGAACTTATCACATAACCTTGTAGCTTTGCAAATAAGCTCATTGAAATTTTTATTTCAGCTAGCTCCGCTAATTTTATCAAACATTTTTATTGTATAAGCTAGTTTTTCAGCTCTAAGCTCGAAAATCACTTATAAGTTAATCGCTTAGAAAATTACTTATAAGTTAATCGGCCCAAACGTACTTTGTTAAACATATATATATGCATATTTTTAAGTTGAAATGTTTATCTCATCCTACACCTCGATCAGCCTGGCTAAAGGGTTAGACAGAAATACCCGGGGAGAACGGGGTAGGTGACCCGGCCCGTCTCGTTCTTCACGCTGTGGAGATCCGAATGGCAAACCCCACAGTACAAAATCTTCAATTTCACGTCTTTTTCCCCAGTTGCCCTTCAAAGGTTGAGGAAATAAGATATGGAAAACAGATAAAGGGAACAAAAACAAGAAAAGAACAAGAAATAATGTACTTAACAAAACAGTTAACCAAAGATTAGTTTAATACTTAAATTAGTACCGAGATTTGATAATAAAATACTAGTGGGATCAAATACTCTATAACCAAATCCAGTGTACAGACAGCCTAATTTCATAACTATTTCAAAACTAATAAAGTACTACCAGTGATCTTGCACAGTGCGCTCACATACTAATTTACAGATTGAATCATCAAAAAAATACACAAGGATTTCAGTGGCATGTCTTTGGTCCTCTTCCCCGTTGCTAAATTCAATTGTGAAACAATTTAACATCGAAAAATGAATTGAAAATTTGAATACTGATTGATGAAAAAAAGAACCCATTCTTGATACCTTCTTGAGAAATGAAAGGGGGCAAGAATTCCAGAAGTGTCCCTGGCAGCCCACCCGAAGGCCTTCACTGGGTGCTCATCTTCTGGGGCTTTCACCATCTTTCTCTGATTTTGTTTTTCTTTTTTTTTTTCTCCTTTTTATAATTTGCAGAATATGAGAAAATGATAGTATTATATATTTTTGTTTTGAGGAAAAACCGAGCGGGGACACGTCTGCTTATATAGAGGAAAGACGGGGTCGGATGCTACGTCACGGGTGACGGACTGGTTTTTCAGTTCAGGATTTTTTATTTTTTTTTTTGGAATCTTATCTGTAACATTTTTCTGTCGCACGAGTCGCGTGCACCACAGGTCCACAACGCCGGTAATTTTTTTTTTCTTACTTTTAGTGAAAAGTGTAGTGATGAATAGTGGTGTATTCGAATCAAACGAGCTGATTTCGAGTTCGAGTTCATGTTCGGATGTTTATTTTTCAAGCAAAAAATAAGAGCTAATTTGTTTAATTATACATTACAGTTCAAGTTCGTTCGTGTTTGATTGATTTAGGATATAAAATTTTTAAATATGTTTGTTCGAACTCAAAAATGAAAAGAATTAAATAAAACAATTTTTTTTATTTTAAATTTACATTAAAAATATCATATAAATATACAAAATATAAAATAAAAGAATATTAAATTAATGTTCGTGCTCGTACGATTATTAAATAAACTTAATTTTTTGTTCGAATTGGCATGATTAACAAACGAACAAACTCTTGTCGAACACGAACGAGTTCGAATGAGCTTTTGTTCATTCGGTTCGTCAACACCCTGGCGAGGAAAGGCGGCCATTTGACTATTTGAGTTAGCTTGTCAATTTTTACGTCATTTGATCAACTCATTAACTGCCTTTATTAACCAAACTAAAAGGAATCATTAAATATAAATTATTGATTTGAAAATACAATAAGCTTGTAGTTATATTGATGTAACAATTATGCGGTTAAACTACAAAGAATCGATAAACATAAATTATTGATTTGAAAATATAGTAAGTTTGTTGTTATATTGACCTAACAATTAGACGACTGCCTCCAAGGATTTTGCAACATTATTACTTGTCTCCTTTTATTTAGGACCAATTGTGCAATTGAGACAAAGTTACACTTATACCAAGCTCTATCCAAGTCAACAAACTTTACAACCTTATCAATTTTTCAAACAAAAACCATTCATCATCATTTTTTTTGTAAAACTAAAAGAATAACCATGAATTCAGTAAATCCATCCAATTTAGTAAAATCGTGCAATTGAGACAAAGTTAAACTCATACCAAGCTCTATCCAAATCAACCAACTTTACAACCTTATCAAATTTTTAAACAAAAACAACTAATCATCTATTTTTTTTAAAAAAAAAATTGTAAGATTAAAAGAACAATCATGAATTTAGTCAATCCATCCAAATTGTTAAATGACTAAACTCATAAGCTCACCGACTACTGGACAGTAAAAAAATGTACGTGTTGATCCACAGTAAAAAAAACAAAAAATTCGATGATGGCATTCTCTATTTCTTTTGTAGAATCAAACAACANATTAAAAAAAAAAAAGAAGAGCAAGCAATGAAAGAACAGCACCAGGTACACACTGCACACTAACAAAATAACCACTAACAAGAAGAAAAAAGTTCCTTTCGTTTTCTATCAAGAACGCCTCGTGCGCTTATTAGAGCCATCACCTTCCGTGAGACGATAACGGGAAACCTGCTGATGTGGGGAACTTATTTCCGGCACAAAGAAGGACGAGTCGTATGGGCCTTGGATTTTACGGGCCCAGTGGAGCCCAGATGACGTGGGAGGCGAGGGAACTTCTGGGACGGCCCAAAAAGAGTCACGCAATTGGCCCAAACAATCGTCGGCCTCCAATTCTCCATCAGCTGCCCGTAAAACCGAGGAGCAATCTGAGTCTCCCAGCTTCCCACTATCCGCCTACAGGGAAGTTTCCGAATGCTAAATATAACTGTTGTTCTTTTTCGAGAAAAAAGGACCATACATATGCACCAAATTTAATCAAGATACACCAACAAGCTAGATTTTATGCCACTAGCACAAATATGACCACAATAGAACACTTGTACTTTCATTCAAACTCAAGAACCAACTTATACCCTTTAAGATCTCTCTCTCTCTCTCTCTCTCTCTCTCTCTCTCTTGTTTTCTTTTTAAGGAAAGAGATAATCACAAGAAGAACACTATAGTTTTGAATTCTTATAAGCAAGCCCTGATGACTTAATGCCCTTGAAGTGGTTTGATTTTTGCACATGAAATTTGTGTTCTTAAATATTTTACCTTGAAGTTCTTTGGAGTGTTGTAATCAATGGGCTAAATGTGTCTTGAAATGGTTTGTTTTCTTTCCTTTCTTTCTTATATTTTTTTTCCCTTCATGCATCGCTGTGATTCAACAAACAACTAAGACTATGTTTGGTAAAAAGAAGCTACCTTATAGCTTATAAGTGATTTTCGAGCTCATAGCTTATGAGCTATAGCTGAAAAACTAGCTTAATTGATAAAAGTGTGTGGTAAGATTAGCTGAAATAAAAATTTCAACGAGCTTATTAGAAAAGCTACCCAAAGAATCCTACGAGATAAGCTCGAACTTTTTAAAAAAGTTTGTCCTACCAAACGAAAAGCTTATTTGAATGCAAGAAGCTTATGAGATAACCAAATAAGTTATAAGCTTAATTAGTTACCAAACATATCCTAAAATGTACATGCAAATAACTAACGGCAAAAAACCAAAATTCACACCTTAGATGAGCCATGATCCATGAAATTATAGCTCTGATTGTAGCCACTGAGATCAAGAAACTCGTCCAACTGCCACGATGGAATGTTCCCAGCCAAGGCCGAGCTCCCGGCATAAGTCAGCATTGGAGGTGACGTGTAACCCCCGACCAGACTATTATTACCTTGCATGGGCGTATTATTATTTCCACTGTGTTGACTTGCTGACTGTACCTGTTGACCAGATGACTGCGCTGGTTGGCCCACATTAGGGATTTGACGAGGCTCTTGTGCTGGAATTTGGTCGGTAGATAGAGAATGTTCTCTCCCGTTAGACGAGGATGGCACATCTTCACTGGCGGCATGAAGCCCGACTTTAACTCCGGTGAGCAAAAACCTCTGGTGGCCGGAGACTGCTTTATTTGCAGTATGTATTGCCACGTCACATTGCCGGCAGAGCAAAGCGCGGTCTTGAAGGCAGAAGAAGAACCCGAGGGATTCCTGCAGAAAATTTTCAATTTTTTTTTTTGTTGAAATAGGTCAAAAACTAAGATTCGCAAAGTATATTCATGGCAGAGTAAAACGAGCTCATTTACAGAGAATCAAACCATAGAATGATTAAAAAAAAAATGATCTTTTCCAAAGGATAATAGGCCACACTTAACATATAACTAATGGCAGTAACACCACGTAGACAGACAACAATTTTTGCAGAATTTCTCAAGTGAAACTCTTCCATATCAGGAAAAGGATCATCAAGATTTTAGTTTTAGTCTTTTACTCTTTTTCATTAAATTTGATAAATCTCCCATTCTTCAACTAACACGAGGCATATCAAAATGCCAGTTAAGCACAACGTGAAAGGATTTTTATCAAATGAATTTTGCCTCGCAAACGAAAAAGATGACAACTTGGATCAAAGACAGTTAAGTTCAAATAAAAAATATGGAGTTATGCAATAACAAGATAAGTGTGACTTATTTCCAGCAAGAATATATCCGTCTTAAAAATCGATTTAAATGCAGGGGCACATCTAAGGTAATCACTAATCCAAACTCCTGTCATTATGACAAAAACACATGATCTTGCACCATAATCAGCCAACTTCCACACTCTCAATGGAGAAAACATGATTCGACAATCGGTCCCCCATACAAACCAATAGACAAATTGCAAACAGATATTTTCATGGCAACAAAGACCTCATGAGTCACCACCCCACGATTATCTCAGAATCTAACAACTTGATGATTAGTTGTAATGATTGAGACTTTAGACAATATAGTAAAATGAAAATCCCATAGTTTGTCTAAAGACTCGACCTTTATGAAATGCCCCATATAGATGGCAAAAAATATTAAATTTTATATTTTGTATACAAACCCAGAACTTAAGAAGGGATTCAATCCTAATGAAACTTTAGAAAACTTCTTCTTAGATGCGGTGAGAGCGACTTAGGGAATCACAAGATACAAACTGCAGACATATTCAGTAAACAAATTGATCATCTTTCTTTCAGGGCGAAACAAAATTAACAAATTAATCAAAATAATACATATATACTATTCCATGTAGGCTCATCTTATTAGCCAAGCTTACAAGGGGGAAAAACAGAAAGAGAGAGAGAGAGAGAGAGAGAAGAGGAATTTTATCTTCCTCCAAAATATCAGAGCTCAAAAAGCAAGAATCAAATGTGAAGTGTGAACTGCATCAAGTAGTACCCAAATAGCTCAGCAAATACACATTCAATCATTAAAATAATCTAAAAAATCATGTATCCACAAGAACATGAAAAAAATCACTGTCAGAAAAAAATTAATAATCAGGCTGCCAAAGATATTTTATTATCTTCAAGACCAGTCAAACAGAACACGGCCCAATACACACATAATCAAATTAACAGACCAAAAAACCCACCAAATTCAGCACCTTCCCAAATTAAAAAGAAGAAAGAAAAAAAATCCAAATTTTAGGTGATCAAACAAACAACAAAAGAAAAAAAAAATCTACCTGGCAAATATCACACTTGGGTATCTGTGAAGACGAGCTAGATAAAGGGACCCTCTGGTGTTTGTACGCGAGCTTATTGGCGGCGTGAACTCTCCGATCACAGTCCCGGCACAGCGCCGCCTCGTCAGCGCAACAGATGACGTCGGCCTCGGCCGCCTCGCACACGCTACACTGAATCTTCATGACCAACCCGAGATTTCATGAAAAAAAAGATGACAATTTGAGCAAAAGCCCAGAAAGAAAGGTAACCCCTTTGGCCAGGCTTAGCTTACTATAGGCATAAATAAGATCTTTCAAGAAGAAAGAGAGGGAGTAGATGAAAAAGAAGGCATGTGGTGGTAGGGGGCACCACAAAAATGGGGTTTAAGAATGGGTACTGATACTTTTTTTATTTTAAAATATCTTTTTTTATATACATTTGTACTATGAAATTGATTTTTAAGTTGGTGTTAATAAAAGGAATAATATCCATAACATTTAAAAATATTATATCACTTTGCCGACGTGTAACTTACTAAGAATTGGCATCTCATTAACAGCAACTTAATTTTACAACCACTCAAACTATATGCGACAACTGAGTAACTGACAAACCCCATAAATTGCTTAGCTAGACATTTATGCTCTTTTTTAATAAAAACTAAATAATTAGAATATAAAATATCGTACATTTATTTAAGTTTTAATTTATTTTAGATGTAAAAATAGATGTAAAAATATATAAATTTATTGTAAAAATATAATTGTCTAAACAGTTACAGTATAGCAATAACAGTATATGAATTGTACAAACAATAGTAATTATATTAAAAACCTATCCCTCATTAATAATAACAAATCTGAGTTTTTTTTTGTGAGTCAAAATGTAAATTATAGTAATTGTTCTAAACTTGGGAGTCAAAGTGTAGTACAAGCGTCATTCCAATCCATTTCAAAATTTGAGAAAAGTTTGAAAACAACTTTTTTGTTTTATAATTTTTTTTCTTAAAAAAAAAAAAACTTACAATATATAATTATACATATTCTATAAAGCNAAATATATGAACCACAAGATATATTATAAGTTATTAACAAGTAGATATAGAAAGTATGAAATTTTACAATTATTTTTTATTGTAGTTTTGTGTAAACTTAAGTTCAGTTCATTATAATATTAATAAAGAAGTTGAGATCGAGCTCATTTATCGGCTCAACAAAAGCTCGAGCTTGAGTTTGGCTGAGCTCATTTACAACCATACCTATAACAACTACAACTCTGCTCTTCTACTAATAACGATGGGCATGAATTAATTTACTCATAAATTACTGTAGCAACGAATTAATATACACAATGTGTACTTGTCGAAAGATAATGATTTCTTATAATACGTGACTGATAAGCACATCTCAATATATTTAATGATGGATAGTCGAACAATTTCAACAATATTAGCAGCGAAATAAATTGAGTTTTTTTCTGTTTACAATGACTTATATTTCACTTTAAATAATTTTATATTTATTATATTAATTTTCCACTTACATTCTTTAGAGACAATATCTTTACACTTAAATTTGTTATACCCCACCTAAATATCACTCTTTAGATATATCAATGGCTAGATAGATTGCAATTTGAACACCATAACATTAGGGTGCTCCCCAGTCTTTAATTTGACCTTCAATTATCAACGCGACAATATGTATGCTTTAACGATTTTAGAAATTAATTGTTGTATATCTTGATAATTAATGGTATGTTAGGTAAATGAAAATATCAAAGGAGCCACATTTGCTGATAATTCAAAATTTATTGGACTCAAACATAATTTAAAACCCATTGGGACAATGTGCCCTATGCAAATTTATGGTCCAAAATTGCTTATCATCTTATAAATCCGTCCAAATTACCATAAAATCAACTTTGTAGTAACACATATGTTATCTGTCCAATTTTAATGAACTAAAAATAGCCATTTAACGATTATTCTTTGGATTTCCTTTTTAAACCCGAATCTTGTCTAATTTTTCGTTAAATTCAGTTGTCAAGGGGCTATTTGTTAAAACTGTAAAGTAATGGAGTTAGTTTATAACTTATAATTAAGGTATATAAATCACATAATATTCATTTTTCCCAACTCCAAAATTTTCTACAAAAATAGTGAGAATCAATTAAATTCCACAATTAAGCGCAAACAAACATCAAAAAACTTATGGAAAGCAAGATAACTAATATGTCAAAATAGGATTTATTATTGCCATCCACAGGTCAGTTGCAAGTTTGCCCTTTATATGTGCTTTAATTTCTCCCTTTAACTTCAATATGTTAGAGAAAATGCACAAAAAAACTAAAGTCATGAACTGTAGATATATATATATATATATATATATTTGAGTTTGTTATATAGACATGAAACACTACTATCACACATACACACACAAAAAAGAAAAGAAAAGAGAATATTATTGCATACTTTAGCAAGTGCTTAGGAAGCAACTGAACACTAAAGATATTTACCCACTGCTATTGAAAATTCTCAGAAAATTTTTATATCAATTCAATTTCACTTTTTTACTCTAACTGATCAATCAAATATCTCTTTAGAGAAAAACCATCATATTAACCAAATATATTACTGATATTTTTTATTATTATTATTATTATTATTATTATTATTATTATTATTATTATNAATAATACCGGCGACTCCAATCCAAAGTTTGCTGATTTCAATGTATTGACCGATCTACACACAGTCCAAAACTCTAATACACCTCAAAAACCAAAACAAAAGCTAAAGAAATCACTAAACAACCGTTCACTGAAAAAAAAAAAGTCTCTGTGACATATTATCAAACAGCTTACATGCATCCAAACGTGAAAGCACCGCAAAGAGACCAAGAATGAGCGGACCGGGTTTATAGGATCTGATCCGGTTACTAAGCCGATTACATGCTGTTTGTGAATTGTTTTGGATTTTGATTACTTTCAGAAAGCCCAATAAATCCTGCCCAGATCCATAAATCTTAAAGGCTTCAACGTGCAATACAACCAGTTTGGGCCTAATTGCCAAGGAGCATATTTTATTCTTCTATCTAAATTTATAGTACTTAGCCCATCAATCTAAAATGATCACTAAGGTACTTAACATATTTTAAAGGTTAGTCACTCATATTTCTTTTAAAAAATTTTACAAACAAAAATAGTCTATTTGCGTAGGTTCGGCATAGAATGCATTAGTTATTTGGCAGTTTTTTAAATGCGACATTTCACAACTGTATTTTTTTATTAAATAATTATGATGGATCAATCCGCTTAATGGTCATGCCGCCATTATAATAATTGTGGTGGATACATATATTTTTTTTCAAGATAATATATGTTTCTATCAAGCCCTTGATCAGATTTGATAGTAATGGATGGGTGTGTGGATTGAGAGTAATAAATTAAACTAGACAAGATAATTATATAGGTGGTCTATGAGGAAACAAAAATAAAAGGGGTAAAAAGCAAAATAATAAAGGTAAAGGAGACTTTTTCAAAGAAAATCGGACTAATGCAAGTCCACACAATATCCATAAAAATGTACGGCATTTGTAATAAACATGGATCACATTTGAGAAAATCTTATTAGAGCAACAAAAAAAATAATAATGTCACCTTATGTCGCTGTTAGTCTTATTGTGTCCACTTTTTGGGACACTAGACTTCAATTTTTTATCTTCTTGATCATGTAGGAAGAAACTTAAAACCTTCAATAAATATCTACTTGGTGAATTCCATAATACCAGTAAATTACCCGTAAATTTACTGTTGTCATTGATTTTTTTACGGCTGGATATTACACACTCACACACACACTCCATGATTATGTGTTAATTCATTAGTATTGTCTATTAGAAATCTCAAATGGAGGAATCTAAAAAAATCTTGGCAAGTTGGTCTGAGCAAAAGTTGCAAGGACATGCTTTTGCCAAAGGCATAAATCCTCCTTTTTTATCATTCATTGCTCTCATGGAAAGAATAATAATATACTGATAAAATCGTAAGCTCTTTACTATTTCATGGCTCTTAAATATATTCAAATTAGAAATAATCGTGGCTACTTCATAATATACTACATTTTTTTATGATTAAATTATATCTTAATTTTCAATTTATAACTATATTTTTATGCCCATCAATTGAAAATAGTACAGCACGTGAAAACATAACGTGGATAATATAATACTAGTACAGATCCCGTGCGATGCACGGGGTGCACAAAATTAATGCTATTTATCAAGTTTTATAATTATATAAATGAATAAAGAAAAATGTAAAGGATATATATAGTACGTGACCTGTAATAGGCCAAAATGTGAACACGGGTGATGCACGGGGTGCACAATTTTAAGGTCATTTATTAGTACAGAGTCCGTGCGATGCACGGGGTGCACAATTTTCTAGTATGTGTAATACAAATACCTACCGTATGCACGGGACAGAAGCACTAAATGAGTTATTTCCACAGAGCTTGCCGGTTAAGTAGCTCCTGAACACGGGTGCACAATTTGTAGTACGTAATATAAAATCAGAACAGATTTCCATACAATTAGATAATAAATAAAGCTTTTTTATTTTAATAAAGATTTTACGTACGTTTTTTTACTTATCGGATGTTATGGAATTTTTATTGTTAAACTGATTTTATCGGATATGATACAAATACAATTAGAAGATTACACAAAATCAGAACATATTTCTATACAATTAGATAATAAGAATGAATTAGATAAGGAAAAAAAGAAATTAGATAAAGAATTTTGAATCTACCTTTTTTTAGTATAGATAGACTATACGTACAAACTTTGACTTCACCGATTTTATAAGATTTGTTTTGACAAAATCAAAGATAAATACTGAAGACTGTTTCTATTAACATTTACAATGTGTATTTAATGTTTTTTTTTTTTTGCAAAATATTCTTTTTAAGTATGATATATAAATATTAAAAATACTTAAAATATTTTATAACATCTATAAAAGCATCTAAAATATTCTATATTATTCACAAATAATGTTTGAAGCTACCTAAATTTTTCTAAACTACCCGTAAGGAAAATATGTCTAAAAATTCTTCATTTAAACTTCATATATGTATATATATATAGAGAGAGAGACAGAGAGAGAGAGAGAGAGAAAATGTGTAAAAAAAAATTATACAAATAATATTTAAAAGTATCTAAAATATTAGTAATGAGACAGGTGAAATTTACATTTTTAAACTATATAGATAATGGATTTATAGTAGTAATTAAACTTTTATTTATTTACGTTTAAAGTTGTTACGATAAATGAGAGATGTGATTTTTTTTACTCGTGGAGATGGAATTTTATAAGCTGGGTTATGAAATTTTCTTAAACTCGTCCATGCGATGAGTTT